GCGAAATCGTCGTCAAGCAAAATGAAAAAACCCATTGAAACGCATTGAAAACCGTTCAATGCGTTCCAATGGGCGAAATACCACATCGTGCAGCGAATATCCTCCATAGGGTGGCCATTTTCCAGTGCCTGTTAAGCGAAGAATCCGTCCTAAAAACAGCAGGGAGCCATTTTGCACAGCAGGGAGCCGTTTTGTGAGCCGCCAACCAGCTGTTTGGAAATCATGGTAATACGAAGAATCGGTTCCCGAAGTAGGAAACCGATCGTCGTGAAGTGAATTTTCCCCATGGGAACATCGTTTTGTGATCGCAATAGCGATTGCAAAAAATCCATCGTAAAGCAGATTCATAGTTTAACGAGGTAATAGTTAAGCAAGGCACCACTGTATTTGAAATTCCATTTATTTCAATTCCATTTTTCTGGCCTCAGCCCTCTCCTTTTGTCTGGTTTCTAGTTCCCTGAGCTGTAGCTCCTGAGCTTTCTCTTCAGCCCTGGCTTTTTCTCTAATTTCCATTTCCTTGAGCTGTAGTTCCTGAGCTTTCTCTCTCTCCTTAATCTTTAATTCCTTCAATTAAATTTTTTATTGTAATTTCCATTTCTCAAAATCTTAAATCCTTTTGTCTCCCTGAGGAACCCTCAGCAATCTCCTCCTGTTTCATTGGAATTAAAGGGTCTCCATTTCCCTCCATTTCTTGAGGTAAACTCTCTGCCTCATGACTTACCTTTTGGCTACATTTGGGGGGCATGTTTACTTCTGAGATAATTAGTCTTGAATGTTTTTACTGATTTTACAAAGGACCTGTCTTTTTGCTTGAATTCCAGTAACTATTGTTGTTGCACTTCCCTCCAGCTCTTCTGGCTGTTCTCCAGCTAACAACTTTTTAGTTACTGTGTCTCTCTATGTCTGAGGTATTCTTGTTCTCAGACACCCAAAATAATTTTATTTTTCAAGCCTCTGTTTTGATTTTCCTATCCCCTCAGATCTGCTCTGACCTCTGGCTTCTGCTTTTATCCACCAGTGCTCCCTTCTCTCAGAGCCTTGGATTTTAAGCTAGCCCACTGGTCTTCCAAATCCTGAGGTAAATGAAGAGGAATTTTTCCTCCAAAGTCATTCCCTATCTTTAATCCCCCCAGATCTGGGATCAGAAGCCTCTCCTCTAATCTTTTCCACAAAATCTCTAGCAGGTCACCGTTCTTCACCACAGACCTCTAACTAAAAAGGTCCCCATGACTCATTTTTTTCCCCATGGTGAATTGTGTATTTGGGGGGATGCTATTGAGATTGTTTAGAAATTCTTCTAGTTTTTCTTCACTGTGGCTCCAGATTGTGAAGGTGTCATCCACATATTGTAACCAGACTGTGGGTGTGAAGGGTGGAGAAGCCAGGGCCTGTTTTTCAAAAAGTTCCATGTAGAGGTTCGCTATAAACAGGCTGAGGGGGTCCCCCATGGCCACTTCAACTGCTTGTTCATAGAAATCATTATCACACTGAAAGTAGCTGGTCATTAGGCAGCGTTGGAAAAGGGCTGTGATGTCTTCTGGAAAGATATCATTACACTTTTTTCCCCTTTGGGTCAGAAGACTAGTGTTAGTAAGACATGTGTTTTAACAAGAGTATTATAAATGCTAGGGCTTTCTTTCTTTGGATCCATCCAGACAAGCTGTTCTTCTGGATTAATGGGGGTTGTAACTATGATCCCTTTTCTACATTGAACCAGAATTACTCACTGCAAGATTCTATACTGTAGTCAATTTTCCTTCAATGTAATCCAGATTGAGTTTGTACATTGATAATGTCCCCTCTTTTCCTCTCTCTCCCTTCTCTATTCTCCATCCTGTCTTTACCTCTTGTTTGTTTCCCTCCCTTGATGTTGTGTAATTTGGGTTTTGGGGTTTTTTTCTGTGAAGAAGGCGTTGTTGCTTTCCGCCTAACATGGAGTAAAGTCTGCAGAATTTGAAGGAAAGCTTTGAGTTGTTACCTCTTTTTTTTTGGGGGGGAGAATATGTTCTATTGGTTTTGCTAGGCATGAAGCAGAGGACAAGAGGCAGCTGTGCTGGGGAGACTCCCCATATTTAGAAAGCCAGAAGGAGTACTGCTCTGTGCTGAGGAGAACACTCCTATCACTGACATCACAGCTTAAGCCAGGGGAAGTTCTAATTGTATACACATCATGCAATTACTGTATATACTCGTGTATAAGCCTAGTTTTTCAGCACAATTTTTTTGCTGAAAAAGCACCTCCTCAGCTTATACTTGAATCAGTGTCAAAATTACAGGGTGTTCTCTGGACTCTCCCACTCATCTATAGGCACCTGCACCCGCTGTGGGTGGTCCGATGACCTGGGTTAAGTACACTGCATTTCTGCTTCCTGGACACTCCCATCCTCCTCCTTCTGCATATTCTATGTACCCAACTTCCTCCTCCCACCTTCCTCCTCCATCCTCTATCTCCCTCCACCTTGTTACGCAGCAGTAGAGCAGTAGATAAGTGCAGCACCCAGTATGAATCCTTCCTCCACAGAGAGTGAAGTGTGTCTCACAGCTCAGAAGGACAGCATCTTCAAAAACATTTAACCTACTGATTCCTCAATTGATGTAATTTAATTGGTATCTGGTTTTATTTTTGAAATTTACCAGTAACTGCTGCATTTTCCACCCTCAGCTTATACTCGAGTCAATAAGTTTTCCCATTTTTTTGTGGTAAAATTGGGTGCCTCAGCTTATATTCGAGTCAGCTTATACTTGAGTATATACAGTAGAACTCCCCCTGAATCAGCTGTGATCTTGTTCAGGACAAAGGAACAGATGAGGGCAGAATAGAACTGGAAGGACATGGGCTAAAATAAAAATAAAGTTCCCAAATGAGAGAAAATAATCTTGAAATAGAAGCAAGGGGAAAGAACTGATTTGAGACTTCAGTAATGTCATGTGGCTCTGTTAAACTAATTCTAATCAATGGGAAACAGAAATTCTTCTTAAATGTGAGCAACTAAGACATGTGGATAGACTCTTTATTTCTTTTACTCGTTGCTTTTAAATGTTTAGAATTTAGAGCCATTTTTGTATTTTTTAAAAAATATATTTCAAAATGCATTTAAAAACAACACATTGGTGACACATTCGTAATGAGTAATGGCTGATGAATTATGGGGCAGTTTTTTTAATTGTACTGTCAACTGTTCATAAAACTGAAACATTATAATGCTCAGCAAAAAAATCTACCATCATCAGATATCAGCTGTCATATAACAAACCTTTGCTTTAATTGATGTGACAACATCAGTAGATAACAAATCTTTGCTTTAATTGATGTGACAATATTTCAAATATTTAAACAGTGCTATTTTTACTCTCTTCAGGTTTTTCCCCCTCTATACCCTATGTATCTTGTTTCTTCTGTCTTCTTTCATGGACCTTGTGCTCCAACCCCTGATCATTTTTTTTGGCTTCCCTTGAACCTGCTCCAATGGACCTGTTCCTCCTTCAAAAACAACTGGATATAGTACTTCCAATAATAAGTGTGTAATAAAAGGAAACCATGACTTCTTGCAACCTGTATTCTTGGGGGCAAATTTACTCAAGCCAGAAGAATGACTTCTTTCTTTTTACAATGGCTGACTTTCACTTTCACAAGTGTGGTAGTGCAGCCCCTCTGGGTTTTCCACTGTGAGAGGCCATGCGCGTGTACTGTTATTGTTCAGTGACATGGCTGATTCCCTACAAATCCTTGATAGCTCCGTCATAGGCAGTTTCAATACCATTACCTGGATGCTGAAAATAAACAAAATAAAAACAACAAAGAGTTATGTATTAACTCAGACTATATTAAATTTATTATGGTGTGAACTCTCACATGCTACAATTTGTGGAGAAATAAGTTTCTTAAGTCTTTAAGTTAGCATAGGACTCTCGCTTTTGCTGCAACAGACTAACATGGCAATGCCATTAGAAGTTCTTCATGTGAGGAAATTGACAGAGGGAAAGTTTTGCATCCTCTCCCCTCATCTGAGTCACCACAGAAAGCATTGGACTCTTGGCAAAACTTTGGATGTTAGGTCGGACATAGTGGTTGCTGGGGAAAGGAGAATGTGCAGTACTTTCCTTCCATGAATTTCCTTATCTTTGGATCCAAGCATATGATTTTTGCAGAAAGCACACTCACACAGTTAGCACTGTACCATTTCAAAACTGTGATTGTGGGCTTTTCCAAGCAGGATAAAATTTTCACTCCTCGTTCTCCTAGCTGCTCATAAAGAAACACAGGGATTAGAGAGATTCACATTCAGATTGCATTTTGAAAGCTACACCTCTGAAAATCATTTTTCTTCATTTTTTTTAAATATTTTGAAAATATGATGGAAATCCACTTCGCTGCGGCAGCTTCCCTTCTGAAGTTATTCTTTTAAGATATTCTTGTTTGTGTGCAAACTGAAAGTTTCTGACTGGGAGGCTTTCACCATAGAAATAAATTTTGGTTGGGAGCACCATAAGCACTCAATTCTCCTGCAACAGGAGAACATGAGAATAAAAATAAAATGTGCCTTCTGGCTTTGCTTTGGGGAGATAGGAAAACATAAAAACTGTGCAAACTACATCAGGGATGAAACTGTAGAAATGTAGAAAAATACCAGTGGCATCACTGCAGACTCAGGTGTGCTGGAAATAATTAATTTAAACTAATTTTAAGTTTCCTATTTCTCTGTTTCTGCTTCTGAGGCTCCCTAGAGATAATTTTTGCCATCAGAAAGACTTTGAGAGCTTGGGGAGGGGGCAGGAGGGGAATTTTTAAGACTTAAGAATGCTTTTGGTTACTATTAAAAGCTCCCTCACCCATCCTGAGGCTCCTAAGTGCTTCCTTAGGGGGATAGGAAGCTTTAAATCAATTTCCAGCTCCCTGATCTGCTTCAAACTGGCGGAACTGCACCAACAGGATTTTGCCCACTGGATCAAATTCTTTTAGTACAGATTTCCAATTTAACTGTACTGTTGTTTGTAATTAGTGGACAGAGCTGCTTCCAGAAATGGCATTCCATTTGTGACACAGGGTGACCACCCATATGCATGTCCGGAGCAAAGTACAGACTTCCACAAAATGGGATCAACAAGGCCTCTTGTGAATTTTGGGAGGCAAGTTATATTCTTTTCTTTTCTTTTCATGAAATTATAGAATCATAGAAAATGAAGTTAGCAGAGGTTTATAAGGTCATTGAGTCCAATCCCCTACTTAATGCAGAAATCCAAATCGAACTATTGTGAGGGTTCTGCTTTTACCTCAGATAATTCCATGTCCTTTCCCTGGCTCAACTTTTCCATAGAAGGCTCTTCAGTAACTTTCAAACATTCAATGTTCATTTCTGGCATGTCCAAAAAACTATTAGTATCAACTTTGACATTTAGCAGCTCTTCCCTGACAAATAGGGTCTGGAACAGGTTCATTTCTTGAACTACCAAATAGTTCTCATAAGATCCACAAAAGGCTATAGGGTCAGTATTCATCATAGTTGGCACTGATGTTATGATGCTGTAATCAACTGTGGATCCATCTCAGAGTTGTTCTATTTAGCCCACACCTAGTTAGCGTGCTAATCAGAGTGCCAGAGGGCACTTTGTCAAAAGCTTTGTTGTAGTCAAGATTCATTACGTCTACATCACGCCCACTATCTGCCAGGGAGATTACCCTATCCAAAAAATGAGATCAGATTAGTATTAGATTATTTGGTCTTGACAAATCCATGTTGGCTTCTGGTTAATACTGCATTGTTTTCAAAGTGCTTGCAGAGTGACTGCTTTAGAATTCCAGAATTTTCCCTGGGATTGATGTCACGCTGACTGGTCTGCAGTTCCCAGGTTCTTCCTTTTTGCTCTTTTTGAAAACAGAGATAAGCTTAATTCTCCTCTAGTCATCTGGCATTTACCCATCCTCTATGTTTTCAAGAAAATAATAGACAGTCATTCTGAGAGTTTGTCAGCCCGTTCCTTAAATATTCTTACAGGAGTAGGTGATACCTTTAATTGACCACAAAGAATATTATACCAAACAAATAAACAAACAACAAAAACCTCAAAAAACAAATATTGAGCTTTCAATAATCAATCATCTTCTCAAGGTTGTGGAAGTGAAAGGAAAGTCCGATGCTGCAAAGAAAAATGCTGCATAGGAACCTGGAATGTCAGATCTATGAACCTTGGGAAGCTGGATGTGGTCAAACAGGAGATGGCAAGAATACACATTGACATCCTGGGCGTCAGTGAACTAAAATGGACGGGAATGGGCGAATTCAAGTAAGACAATTATCTACTATTGTGGGCAAGAATCCTGTAGAAGAAATGGAGTAGCCCTCATAGTTAACAAAAGAGTGGGAAAGGATGTACTGGGATACAATCTCAAAAATAATAGAATGATTTCAATATGAATCCAAGGCAGACCTTTCAACATCACAACAATCCAAGTTTATGCACCAACCACCAATGCTGAAGAGGCTGAAATGGACCAATTCTATGAAGACAACACCTTCTAGAACTGACACCAAAGAAAGATGTTCTTCTCATTATAAGGGATTGGAATGCTAAAGTAGGGAGTCAAGAGATAAAAGGAACAACAGGTAAGTTTGGCCTTGGTGTTCAAAACGAAGCAGGTACACTGTTTGACTCAACATTAGTGTGCAAAAGTAACAGGATTCTGTTAAGTATAATCAAACCACGAAGTGATTTGATTTCATGATGATAATGGCTTTTTGGCTTTTTTCTTCTTCTTAGTGGTATGTGTAAAAAGAAGTTCGATACATTTATTCCTCTCCAACACTTGCCAGGAATTCCATGGTATGTATCTAGTATTTTGTTTAATATTTGCTTTGTTGTTAAGTTGCTGTTATTTGTTTCCAGAACCTACCTATTGTATTACTAGCCTCAATAGGCTTGACACTGTCCTGCAAAAAATTAAAATGTGAACATGATAATAAAAATGCAAAAGCATGCACAGTCATTTTGTAACTGATTGCAGACTTGGAAGATGACTGAAGTTACAGTGAAGAATAGAAGCAGGATTTCACACCACTTTTATTTTACTTAAAACAGGGGTCCCCAATCCCTGGTCCGTGGCCTGGTGCCAGTCTGTGGGCTTCCCAGGACTGGGCCGCAGAGCGGATCTCCACCCCCCTGCATGCACGCACGTTGGGTGTATTGCACTCCTGGTGGTGCGTGTCACGCTCATGGGGAGGCGTGTCACGCTCATGGGTGTGTGTTGTGTTTGCACGCATGTGCAACACACTCCCCCGCACGTGGAGCCATCCCCCAACCGGTCTGCGGTTCCAAAACGGTTGGGGACCGCTGACTTAAAATTAAATGTAGGGGTGAAAAGTATTATTCGCAGAGTAATCTTTAAAATTAAAAGGATTAAATGTATTCATAGAGACATCTTACTCCAAGGAGGTGAATCCGTTTGAATCATCTATAGTTGTATTTATTAATATATTATAAATATTTTAAAAATGGCTGGAATCCTGTTGTCGAAATTTATCCTTGTAAAGCTGATGGAGTTTTCCGCTGCATCGTTTAGTCAGAAATGGAAAATTCATTTCTGAAGGTTCCAAGGCTCTCATAGACTCTCTTTTGCGAAGGGGAAGCCATTAATGGGGAGTTGTGGAATGGTTGGGGGTCTTCAATTTCCAAACGTTGATGGCAACAGGATTATTTTACTGATGGCGTTGGTTTTTTGAACTTAAAGACTCCCCCCCCCATCCTGTTCCCCCAACAGTGAAAGGAATTAGAGATGGTCATGAACCACCAGTTCAGTGGTTTGTGCCAGCTCATCCTTTGGCCAGCAGGTATCCAGGGCTTCCCAGCCCCTGTTTCCTCCGGCGTGGGTCCCACCTAGGTAGCAGCTAGAGAAGGCAGGGAAGCTGGGGTGCTGCCTCCGAGTAGGCTCCCGTCGGAGGCAGCAGGGCTGGGAACCACTAAACACCTGTTTGTCCAAGTTTGTGCCCATTTCTAGAAAGGGTCCCAAGGGAGCCTTTGAGCCTTTTGGGGAAGGGACCCAAATTTTTTAATTTTAAAAAAAAGAGTTGCAGCTGATGACATTATCAGCCTTATGCAGCCAAATGTGCATAACAGGATTTCAACCAATGAACTGAAGACAGATTTTTGGTGGCTACAGTAGCATTTCAGTAATTACCAGTGAAGTAGTCATATTAGTCTATCACAGCATGTTGGGGAAAGAAAAGAAAAAAATTAAAATTAAAATATAGAAGCACTTTAAACTATTTCATTTTACTGTGAGCTTTCATGGATCAAGGTCCACTTCCTATAATTAAATATCTAATATTTTCAGTCACTTTGAATTTAAACTTATCTTCCATTTTTCCCATTTCCTCTCTAGAATAACTGTATACCATCATTTCAGATTTTTTCCAATTTGATTCCACTTAATCCCCCAAACTCTTTTAGGTGTGTTGGGATTCTATCTATAGCTCCTCTTGGATTATCTACCATTAACAAAGTATCCTCTGCAAATAAGCTTATTTTAGTTTTCTACTAAAATCCAATCCCTTTTATTGCAGTGTTCGATCATCTCCCCAATGTTATTTAACATCTATATAAGGCTGTTGGGGGGTATCATCTGGGGATCTGGAATTTATGTCACCAATATCCTGATGACACCCAGCCCTACATCACTTTTTTCCATCTTCAGTGGATGCTGTTGCATCCCTTGGGTGTGCCTGGAGGCTGTTCTGCAATGGATGCAATCAAATGGACTAAGGTTGAACCCGGACAAGACAGAGGTCCTGCAGGTGGGTGGCCCCAATGTCAGTGGTTTGGGCAACTCCCTCTCTTTTTTGGGGGTGACTCTCACCACAAAGAATTTGGTTCACAGTCTGGGGGTTGCAATTCTATTTACATCCAGCAGAGGGAGTCCTTCTCTCAAGTACACTGATCCCCTTTATCATCCAGTGAAACCAAATATTATTCACAGTTCAGTCATTCCTTCCCTTCCGCTTCGCTTTCCTTATCTTTAGATCTCCGAACAGCCAAAATGTTTTCTTTTTAACAATCTAATATCTACAAAGCTCTCTCTCTGTCCTTTGAGTATTTCAATTCTTTTAACCAATCTTTCCACAACTTTTTGATTTTGTTTTAACAACTCTGTGCATCTTACTGTGGGAGGGAGGGGTCCATTATAACTGATTTTTTCTTTATAGCTCTTTAATTGCTACAAACAGTGTTCACAAGAATGCCCCGCTCTCTCCCTTTAGAATGATGTATTACTTTATTAGGGCTGTTAATCTTTCAGCCTGTTTCTACACTTCAGCAACTGAGCATTTGTTCATCAGCTGGCTAAAGATTTATGGTTACAGCCAGATTTTTTAAAAAATCTCATTCCTTTAGTAAAGTCCCCAGAGGTATTTGCTCTTTGGTACTCAAGAGAGAGATTTCTTTTTCTTATCTGGGTGCTACTTTTATTCTATATTTTAACAGAGGCTTCAGAGAGAAAAGAATTACTGTTTATCCACCATTTCTGTCAGACACCACCCCACAAATAAAAGTTTATCTGACAGATGGTTGTCAACTTTTCTCTTGACTACTTCCAATGCTAGAGCACTCACCAACTCCTGAGGTAATTGCATCCATTGTCATATTCCTCTAACAGGACATTGAGCAGGAAGTTGGACTCTGTGGCCTCATGCACCCCCTCCAACTTCATTCTATGATTTTTCTTGATATTCAACCGAAATCTGGCTTCCTGTAAAGGTAAAGGTAAAGGTTCCCCTTGACAATTTTTGTCCAGTCGAGTTCGACTCTAGGGGGTGGTGCTCATCCCCGTTTCCAAGCCATAGAGCCAGCGTTTGTCCCAAGACAATCTTCCATGGTCACATGGCCAGTGCGACTTAGACACGGAACGCTGTTACCTTCCCACCGAAGTGGTCCCTATTTATCTACTCACATTTGCATGCTTTCGAACCGCTAGGTTGGCGGGAGCTGGGACAAGTGACGGGAGTTCACTCCGTCGCGTGGATTCGATCTTACGACTGCTTGGTCTTCTGACCCTGCAGCACAGGCTTCTGCGGTTTAGCCCGCAGCGCCACCACGTCCCCTGGCTTCCTGTAACTTGAGGCTATTGCTACATGTTCCCCACTCAGGAAAGATCAAGAACAGATCCTCCTACCCCTCTGTATGACTACCTTTCAAGTATTTGAAAAATGCAACCAGATCTCCCCTCAGTCTTCTTTTCTCAAGGCTAAACATGCCCAGTCTTTCAGTCTTTCCTCATAGGATATGTATTTCAGCCCCCTGATCATCCTTGTTGCTCTCCTCTGAACTGCAGAAGAGATGTCTGCAGTTTCCAGGTTTCTCTCTCTCTTTTTTAAGATAGGGACAACGCTACCCTCTTCCAATCATCTGGCACTTCATCCATCCTCTATGATTTCAAGAAAATAAAAAAAAATAACAGTGGTTCTGAAAGTTCTTCAACTAGTTCCTTGAATACTTTTGAGTGGAGTTCATTGGGCCCTGGAGATCTGAACTTGTTGAAAATAATAAGGTATTCCTTGATGATTTGTTTATCAGTCTCAAGCCACAGTCTTCTCCTCTCTATTTGTATTTACCATTTGCCTGGAGGGTCATAGGCTATCTTCCAGGAAAAGACTGAGGAAAAGTCAGAATTGAGCACTTCTGCCTTTTTTTTGGTCATCTGTCATCATTTTTCTACCTCTATCGATGTGCTGAGTCACTGTTTCTTTTCTCTGTCTTTTGCTGCACATGTACCTGAAGAATCCCTTTTTTGTTGTTCTTGCTAACCTCAGCTCATTCTCAGTTTTTGCCTTTCTAATGTCATCCCTGCAATCGTTGACTATTTATCTATAGCCTGCCCTTCCTTCCACTTCTTATATGTGTCCTTTTTTATTTTCAGGTCCTCTCTGAGCTTTTTGTGAAGTCAAAATGGTATTTTTGGTTGTCTTTTCAACTTTTTTGAAACTCTGTGGAGTTTCTTTCTGTTGCTGGCCTTCCTGGTCACAGCTCTCCTACCCCCTTACCCCTCATCTCCGCTTTGCGGTTCTGTATAAGAACATAGCTCACAGCTTCCTGCACAGCAAGGGATGGAGTTTGTTTGCCTGTCTGAAAGCATTCTTGGATTAGCCGACAGCACCAGCTACTCCACTGATATGTTCAATAGGACTGTGTGGTTGGGGATCCCAAGTGAGGGCATCCCGTGAAAGTTGGCTGGAAGATTAAAATGTTTGCCTGGCTTCTGTGAGGACCGTAGCAGGCTGGAACATGATAAAATAGCTGTCCTGGAAAAATTCAAACGAGGAAGCTCAGCAGCAGATACTTTTTTAAAAACTTTTTTTTCTTGGGAGCTTTGTGTCTTTATAAATTTTGGAGCATAGAACAGAGAGAGATTGCTTCATTTTACATCTTAATGTTAGTTTCCCTTGATCTTGGCAACAGACTGGAAAATAGTGTGGCTTTAACTCCCTCATGTGGCGGTTAAGCCTCTCTCAGATTAAGGGTATGGTAGCTATAAGAAAATACCCACAAAAAAAAATGAGGCTGATCTGAAAACAAGATCAGAAAAAGCATCTTTGTTAAACTGTTTTGATTAACTTGAATTTATAGCACATTTCTCTTTTTTACATTAACATTTTAACATTTACTTTAGAAAAAATAATTTGTACATCTCTGAGTATTTAATACAAAGCGGAGTGCAAAATGATCAAACTTCAGAACCTCTCTTTCAAACCAGAATATTTCTAAATTCACATATATTGGCTGAAATCAATAATCACAACTAGAGAAGGCCCATTGAATCAGTGGACCTTATGGAAGAGTTGACTCACCAAATCCCCACTGATTCAAGGGGTCTACTCTAGTTGCCACTTACGACTGAATTTCAGCCATTGTCATACATGTCACTGGGCTCATAGTATATACAAAGCAACTGAGTCCTTAAGGAGAGCTGCTTTGCAGATCATTTTTATTGGTGGCCCTGACAGATTTCTCCTGCAGCCCAGCTGTTATGCATCTCATGGCTTACTCTAAAACAAAGTCTGTCTGATACTTTGCATATTGACTGGAGACAGTGCACATTTTCCAGAGAATTTATAAAGTGTAGTCAAGAAACTTTAAATTCTCCAACCTGTCAGAGAACATGTAAATTAACCAGGAAATGTGCAGATTCCCAGTGGGGTGTGGGGAAAGTGCACATTGTCTGTTAAGCACATTTGCTGTTCAGTTTACATGATCCTTGACTTAGATATTTAAAGCAGAGGTAAAGATGAATTCTAAAATTAATTTGGGGTAATACATTTATTAGGTCAGGCAAAAGGCACAAACATGGATGTAAGAGTTCGAGATCTCTAGATCTCTTTGTTGGGCAAGGCAGGGGAGGGAATCAGGGAATGTTTGAACCTGAGGTTATGTGGTTTGCATCTTGTTTTGCAATCTACTGAAGAGGAATGAATGTGCTGTAGCTTGTTAAATGAGACTCATCAGGAGATACAAGCATATTAGGTGTTGACTGAAGCAGTCCCCTAGGTTCGCGATTGATGATGATGATGTGCCATCAAATGAATTCTAAGTTACAGAGACCCTTTCCTCGGTTTCCTAGGCATAAAATATTCAGAGTGGTTTACCATTCCCTACCTTTGAGGGTACTCTGGTATTATGCAGCTTGCTCAAGGCTATACAGGCTGTCTCTTTTCCTGGGAGGCACAGTCAGTCCCAACCTGTAGCTACACAGAGCTATCAAGCCAGTTAGGGCCAGGAAAGGCCAAGTAATCTGATTCTGAAAACACAAAACTCAATTGTAAATTGAGAAATCTCTCTTGGCAAAACCTAGTTAAAAACATCTAGATATCTCATTTCGCCTTATCACAATACTGCTCTTAGAATGCCTTTATTTAAATATATGCTGATGTGGGAAAATTATGTTCATTTGCCTTTAAAAGCCAAAAGGGCATTTTGCTGGATTAATAAAATTTCTCAGTAAACTTCTCTGTTTCCCCACCCCACCTCCCCACATGCGCAGTGTGCCTTTCCGCATCAAGGAAAAACAGCAAGAACTTGAACGAGAAAAGATGGACGTAAAGAATATGGAGATGTGGAAGCCTGCACCAAGTTTGCAGCATTCTTTGTTTGCAACTGGGATGTCCAGAAGATTAACTTATCAGTAATTTAAGGGAAACCCATTCTTTATAATTCTTTAAAATTCATTGTGACCTGAATGATCTGATGTTCCTTAGTGAGAAAATGCATTTTACACATGCCTTCTTTCAAAGCTTTTTGAGTTAATATCATACAGGACGGACTGTGGGAAGGTGGCATTGGTATCTGTTAACATGGATTGGAGAGGACACAATAAAGGAAAGGTTTGAGTGTATAGCCCATTTTTTCTGACATATCTGTGCCACTACACAGATGGCAACTTAACAAGATGAAGTCTTAATGCCAAAAGGCTGATGGTTTTCATAAGCCTAGTTGAAATATGGTAGAATGAGACTGGAATGTAAGGACTAAAGGGAGTGATTCATTCAAAAGAAACTGACCAAATAGGAAAGGAAGAATGGAAAACACATGCTTTTAAAGAAATCTATGAATATATCTCTCCTTCCATTTGAATATGGAAGCAATGCAGTGCCCTCAATGGACTCAGCACCCCCCCCACCATGCCCATTGCCAGACAGTAGGTGAAGTGCTTGTGCTTTAAACCTGTTGACAGAAGTTTACCAACACACTGATACTCTGGCTGCCTTCCCCAGTGACTTTGCTTTGAAAAACGATTGATAGGATCATACACACATGCCATATTGCAAAGGAATAAATCAGAATGTAACCAGGGGCTAACTGGGGGAAATAAAGGCAGGAGGAGAAGGGGACGGCAGAGAATGAGATGGTTGGACAGTGTCATCTAAGATAACAACATGAATTTGACCCAACTCTGGGAGGCAGTGGAAGACAAGAGGGCTTGGCGTGCTCTGGTCCATGGGGTCACGAAGAGTCGGACACAACTGAACGACTAAACAAGAACAACAACTAATGGTTCTGGCACTCTGATTTTCTATGATAAAATGGAAGGTCTGGCATAGTTGCTTTCCTGAACATTCTATCTTCAAGAAGGGGGGGGGAGGGAAAGAGACAAGGCAATTAGCTGTCCTAAACAGGGATGGAAAAGGATTGCACTTGGATCATGTTTTGAGAAGGCTTTTCCAAAATCCACGGATGGAAAGAATTTGAGATTAAGAAGAAGAAGAAGAATGAGAGAAATTGAATGGACAAATGTGCCATTGAAGCGGATAGTTTGGGTGGCAGTTCTTAAAATCATGAATTTGGATCCTTGTGTATTCAAATATGTGTGTTGAGCTGAACTGGGATGGGCCCTCTTCTTGTCACAGCCTCCTTAATGTTAAGCACAGCCAGTCACAATGAGATGCTCTTCATGCTCCATGCCGGTGGCTGAGCATTTCGTTCAGTTTGTTTTTGGTGGGGACGTAATTCATGAATTTCTTCACAAATGTGATTAAAAGAACTTGAGCATTAAAAAAATTATAGTGGGAGATAGAAAGAACAGATTCATCCATCCATAATCCTATGTCTGATTCTGTTCTATAAGGATGAACTAGATGAGATGAGTGGCCCTCATAGTCAACAAAAGAGTGGGAAAAGCTGTAATGGGATACAGTCTCAAAAATGATAGAATGATGTCAATACGAATCCAAGGCAGACCTTTCAACATCACAATAATCCAAGTTTATGCACCAACCACCATTGCTGAGGAGACTGAAATTGAACAATTTTATGAAGATTTACAACACCTTCTAGAACTGACACCAAAGAAAGATGTTCTTCTCATTCTAGGGGACTGGAATGCTAAAGTAGGGAGCCAAGAGATAAAAGGAACAACAGGGAAGTTTGGCCTTGGAGTTCAGAACGAAGCAGGACAAAGGCTAATAGAGTTTTGTCAAGAGAATAAGCTGGTCATCACAAACACTCTTTTCCAACAACACAAGAGGCGACTCTATACATGGAAATCACCAGATGGGCAATATCGAAATCAGATTGACTATATTCTCTGCAGCCAAAGATGGAGAAGCTATATACAGTCAGCAAAAACAAGACCTGGATATAGCCACAAGGCAGTGGAGGTTTGAAATCGGAGTTTTCCTTTTCCTAGATGGGATGCTTCCATGGCTGACGAGCCCCACCTACCTGGAAGTGAAACACATCTTGCTGTATAATCATAATGATAAAGACAACAATAATAAAAATGTGCCATCAAGTCAGTTCTGAGTTATAGTGACCCTTTCTAGGGTTTCCTGGATATAGGAAAGTAGCTTACCATTCCCTTCTTCTGGGGGCTGTATGACTGTGCACTCCATCCAAGGGTACACAGGCTGACTGTTTGTCCTTAGAGGCACAAAGAGGAATTGAACTCTTGACTTACAGCTTCACAGCGAGGTACTCATCTCACTGAGCATACAAACCATATTTTCCACCACTGAGCCATAAGCCCTTCTGTAACACAGTGGTGACATATTCACAATGTTATAAAAGAGCTGTTTGAATATTATTGGCAATACAATATCTGCTTTATGAAGAGATCTGACATTGAGAAAAGTTGCTTGGTCTCATCTGTGGGAGACTAGTAACAACTGCATGTTTAGTGTGGGAAAGGCACTGTCCAGAAAATAATTCTCCATTTAATGTGTTGCAGCCAGTTTCTTCATGGATTGCTGCCTTGTCGTGGCGAAGGGGCTTGAGTAACTCAGAGAAGCTATGGGCTATGCCGTGCAGGGACACCCAAGATGGACAGGACATAGTGGAGAGTTCCGACTAAACGCAATCCACCTGGAGTAGGAAATGGCAAGCCACTCCAGTATCTTTGCCAAGAACGCCCCATGATCAGAAACAAAAGGCTAAAAGATATGACGCTGGAAGATGGGCCCCTCAGGTCGGAAGGCGTCCAACATGCTACTGAGGAAGAGTGGAGGACAAGTACAAGTAGCTCCAGAGCTAATGAAGTGGTTGGGCCAAAGCCGAAAGGACGCTCAGCTGTGGACGTGCCTGGAAGTGAAAGGAAAATCCAATGCTGCAAAGAAGAATACTGCATAGGAACCTGGAATGTAAGATCTATGAACGTTGGGAAGCTGGAGGTGGTCAAACAGGAGATGGCAAGAATAAACTTTGACATCCTGGGCATCAGTGAACTAAAATGGACAGGAATGGGCGAATTCAGCTCAGATGATTATCATATCTACTATTGTGGGCAAGAATCCCGTAGAAGGAATGGAGTAGCCCTCATAGTCAACAAAAGAGTGAGAAAAGCTGTAATGGGATATAATCTCAAAAATGATAGAATGATGTCAATACGAATCCAAGGCAGACCATTCAACATCACAATAATCCAAGTTTATGCACCAACCAGCATTGCTGAGGAGACTGAAATTGAACAATTCTATGAAGATTTACAACACCTTCTAGAACTGACACCAAAGAAAGATGTTCTTCTCATTCTAGGGGACTGGAATGCTAAAGTAGGGAGCCAAGAGATAAAAGGAACAACAGGGAAGTTTGGCCTTGGAGTTCAGAACGAAGCAGGACAAAGTCTAATAGAGTTTTGTCAAGAGAATAAGCTGGTGATCACAAACACTCTTTTCCAACAACACAAGAGGCGACTCTATACATGGAAATCACCAGATGGGCAATATCGAAATCAGATTGATTATATTCTCTGCAGCCAAAGATGGAGAAGCTCTATACAGTCAGCAAAAACAAGACCTGGAGCTGACTGCGGCTCTGATCATCAGCTTCTCATAGCAAAATTCAAGCTTAGACTGAAGAGAGTAGGAAAAACCACTGGGCCACTCAGGTATAACCTAAACCAAATCCCTTATGAATACACAGTGGAAGTAAAGAACTAAGGAACTAGATTTGGTGGACAGAGTGCCTGAAGAACTTTGGATAGAGGCTCGTAACATTGTCCAGGAGGCAGCAACGAAAACCATCCCAAAGAAAAGGAAATGCAAGAAAGCAAAGTGGCTGTCCAACGAGGCCTTAGAAATAGCAGAGAGGAGAAGGGAAGCAAAATGCAAGGGAGATAGGGAAAGTTACAGAAAACTGAATGCAGACTTCCAAAGAACAGCAAGGAGAGACAAGAGGGCCTTCCTAAATGAACAATGCAAAGAAATAGAGGAAGATAACACAAAAGGAAAGACCAGAGATCTGTTCAGGAAAATTGGACATATTAGAGGAACATTTTGCGCAAAGATGAACATGATAAAAGACAAAAATGGGAGGGACCTAACAGAAGCAGAAGACGTCAAGAAGAGGTGGCAAGAATACACAGAGGAATTATATCAGAAAGATGTGGATATCCCGGACAACCCAGACAATGTAGTTGCTGACCTTGAGCCAGACATCCTGGAGAGCGAAGTCAAGTGGGCCTTAGAAAGCCTGGCTAACAACAAGGCCAGTCGAGGTGATGGCATTCCAGTTGAACTATTTAAAATCTTGAAAGATGATGCTGTTAAGGTGCTACATTCAATATGCCAGCAAGTTTGGAAAACTCAACAGTGGCCAGAGGATTGGAAAAGATCAGTCTACATCCCAATCCCAAAGAAAGGCAGTGCCAAAGAATGCTCCAACTACCGTACAATTGCACTCATTTCACACGCTAGCAAGGTTATGCTCAAAATCCTACAAGGTAGGCTTCAGCAGTATGTGGACCGAGAACTCCCAGAAGTACAAGCTGGATTCCGAAGAGGCAGAGGAACTCGAGACCAAATTGCTAACTTGCGCTGGATTATGGAGAAAGCCAGAGAGTTCCAGAAAAATATCTACTTCTGCTTCATCGACTATGCGAAAGCCTTTGACTGTGTGGACCACAGCAAACTATGGCAAGTTCTTAAAGAAATGGGAGTGCCTGACCACCTTATCCATCTCCTGAGAAACCTATATGTGGGACAGGAAGCAACAGTTAGAACTGGTCATGGAACAACTGAGTGGTTCAAAATTGGGAAAGGAGTACGGCAAGGCTGTATATTGTCCCCCAGCTTATTTAACTTATATGCAGAATACATCATGCGGAAGGCTGGACTGGAAGAAACCCAAGCCGGAATTAAGATTGCCGGAAGAAATATCAACAACCTCCGATATGCAGATGATACCACTCTGATGGCAGAAAGTGAGGAGGAATTAAAGAACCTTGTAATGAGAGTGAAAGAGGAAAGTGCAAAAAACGGTCTGAAACTCAACATCAAAAAAACTAAGATCATGGCCACTGGCCCCATCACCTCCTGGGAAATAGAAGGGGAAGATATGGAGGCAGTGTCAAATTTTATCTTCCTGGGCTCCATGATCACTGCAGATGGAGACAGCAGCCCT